AATCGTGTCCCTGCTGGAATCAGTAAGTGCTTCATGGTTTGTGTGGTGCTTCATGAAGAGGCCAGGATGTTGTTCCCAATGCATACCAAGACAAAGGAAGGTATCAGCTGAAAGCTGATTGGCACAGAGCCAACCATATTATGGAATAAATAAGTTACAGTAGCCTTATAGTCACAAAATTGAAAACATATATGGCTGGAGCATCCAGGAGAATTAATATAATTCATATCAATGTCATCACTGATTTACAAACTATGGGGTATTCATGAGGACTTTAGGGCAACTGTGGTGGGACACCGAATTTCTCATAAATTGTGGCAGGATGATGTTTATAATTCACAGTTTTTTAAACAGATTTAAACAGGCAAAGTATGCTCACACCAGGTCAGTACTTGGTGTTGTGTGGACACACTGTGACTTGCCAGAGGCCACCACTTTCCAGTGGGATTTACTGTTCCTGCGAGCAAGGTCCCCAAGGGCCACCACATTTACAGAGGAACCTCATGGAAATATCAGCTGAGCTTGAAATCTTCTGGAAAGCAGCATTTCCAAATATGAATGCATGACATGCATGGGAAGTTGGCTACCAATATCAAGAAAAAGGAGCTTGAAATGGAGTTGTATGATGGGGCAACCACGATGGCCAAATCACACAGTGCATCTGCACAGACCGCTGTGGCAGGCACCTCCCTCTCCAGATATTTTGCTCCAGCTGCTAAGCAGGTCATTAATATCTGGTGGTTATTTTGGCCCCTGGAGCTGCCTTAATGCTTTTGCAGTATGTGTTGACTGTTTCAGCTGCCACAATCAGGTCTCAGTTTTAGGATGGCTCACTGAAATGAACGGGGAAAGGTTGGATTCATTTTAATTAAGCACCAAAAATTAAATTTCAAATAAAAGTACACATAAAAATGCATACTTTTGCCCTTGTAGACATGGGAAAATGCTGTAGTGTTCCATAAGGGCAAGAGGCCCATGTTTTTTCTTTCACAAATGCAAAAGAAGGCAAGTGATTTTCAGCAGGAATCCAATTTTACAAGGAGGAATAATATGTTACATAGTCAAATCACTTTGATGTCAATTTTATTTTGCAATCACTTCATAAGATATTCATATAGCCTTTTTATTCCCTTAAAGTGTTCAACTCGAGGCACAATACAGTATTATCTTACTTTTTACCATAATGATGAACGATAATGGGAACACATAATAAGATTTTATGTGTGCCCAAAGAAAAATCTGCTTTAGCCCAGATGAGAGGAATTTTGCAGATCAAATTAATATTATAAAACAGCACAATTTATCAAAATAATACAGCTTTTCTTCTCTCAATCCATTGTGAATCTCAGTATCTGCAGCCAGTACACAGTGAACTATTAGAGGCTGAAGGAATTTTTTAAATAAAATCTCTATGAAAAATATATGGCTGATAAAAGTAAAAAAAAAAAATCAAACCAAAACTCCCTTTTCCTCTCCTATCCATCACACTTACACACAATAAACACTCTAATATTTAAAAGGTCTGTTACAACTGTTCTACAGTGATGCTGCTTACTGTTGAAAAGCCATCCCAGTCTGGTAGCATCTTTGTTTAAGTTCCTCAGAAACTTATGGATCTCATTTGGTTTCCCTGAATTTTTTATTCTCATGGAACATGATTTATAGCAAAATGCTCTCTATATATTTTGTTGCATCCTTTTAATATAGATTCAGTTTATTAATCTATTCATTATTTCAAAGTGTAGCCTAAAAGTATATTAGTAAAATGTAGAATAGTGGGACCACCCTGATAGAAACTTAGCTGTCTGATCCAGCATCCTCACCATATTTTCTACATTTTTACTTGGTTTTAGATACTTAAACACCTGCTTCTCTGAAGAACTCTTGTTGGAACACCTTGTCCTGATAGCAGTTGTTACAGGGCAGGTTTTTTTTCCTGGGACACGTGAATAAATCAAAATTACTTAAGGAGCTGTTGTAGTGCAGTCAAATGAGAAGATAAAAAGTTCTAGGGAAAAGCATTGGCAGTTTATCACACTGGATAAACCTAAATGAGCTACATAAACCAAGACTGAATGCATTTGGAACCTAAGTAATGCGGGGTAGGATCCCACCTGGTATTGCGGACCCCACTTTTATTCAGGAGGGGGAGAGTGAGGATGTTTCCGTGCCCAGGGAAGCACACGAACCTTCAGCTCACATTCGCTGTATCCACACAGCTGCAGCGCTGATCCCTCTTCCCCCAACTCAGCCACAGCCCAGCACGGCCTTGGTCCCGAGCCAAAAAAGGCTCTGTCAGACACTCAGCCGGGCACTAGATCACAGGAACTACCTGCACCGAGAGGCTTTGTTTGGCTCTGCTGTCGTCACGGAGCAGATTAATGGGAGAAAAAGGAGTGAAAAGAAGCTCTCTCTCTCTCTCTCTGGCAGCTGCACCCCTGTGAGCAGCCCCTCGCACACGTGTGGTGCCGGGAAGAAAAATGCGCTGGGAAACGGGAGCGCTGCTGGGCGACTGCAGCCCCAGCGCCCCGGGGGATGTCCGAGGCTCCGAGGGCTGTGGGAGTGGGGCTGTGCATTGGATCATGCACACTCCAACTTCAGCCTGCACAACTTTGCGGGTTTGCCCTCATAGCTGTATATAAAGCACAATCCCTGTTATTTTTTTCCCCCCTCTTTCTGCATGGATACTAGCATGAAGGAAGCTGATGGAGCTAATTAGTTCCAAGCAGTGTTAATTTCTTAATTTCTCTGATTGGAACTCTTTATGACCCAGTCAGATTGCTTAATTTTTGCGGTTTATATTTTCAAATCTCTCCAGTTATTGCAACTAATCCTTATTTCTACTTTTTATTTTTTCTTTCTGATCCTATCTGAAAAACATAATTCCATGTAACTGGGACATGGAATGGAAATTACACATGGTGACAAGAAAGATTTTGCCTTGAATGGAAATGTATTCAACAGAAAAGTAGCCATGGCAAGATCCGCAGACATATGTGAAGGGTGAATTTAGCAATAAAATGTAATCACCATAGCACATAATGTCAGGAACTAACTGCTTTCTCCCAGACTTGTCTAGAAAAAAAGAATAGCTCCACAATTCCTGTGTCGAGCTGGAAACTGGAAACAGTGCTTGTGGGAATAAGATACTTCAGACAGCCTGAGTGGCGGGGTCCACTCCCAGCCAGTGATTTCTCCCTTGTGTCTCATGGCTTCAAGCACGACCCTGCAGAAATGCCTTGTAGTTTGGGCTTCCACACATTGGTGACAACTTGAAGCAAGGTTTGCTCAGTAACTACAAATATTAAATACTTTTGGCAAGTGGCCAATAATGCTTTTTCATATGCATTAATATTCAGCACCAAAGGTCATACTCATCATTATGAGAAAAAATTATTCTCATTTGCTAGGAAGGCGGAGTCTGGACACACTTGAATACAAGATGCTTGGGCTTGAACAGACTTGAAAAAAATATCTGTATTATAGTACAAACCAATTGAGGGTGATGTTGCCACTGCCTGGTCAGGGTCCCACCCTGCCGCTGTGCTGATGTGAAGCCCCCCGGCTTCCCCTGCCCGGCAGAGGCACCTTCAGCTGCGGGGTCACTGCCCTGGGTCTCCCCTGGATCCCGAGGAGGGTCAGGGGGCGCTGAGGCAGAAAGTCACACTGCCTGCCTTGTTTGGGGGAGAGGCGGCGTCTGAGGAGGTGTAAGGGAGTCGACTGAAGGCTGGGAAAACAGTTTCAGCTTTAATCCAGGATCTGGGAACCTCGAAGCTACAGAAAATCCAGCAGCCACAAGTGGCCTCGAGGCTTTTCCAACATCTTAAATACCGGGGCGGTAGCAAGGGGACGGGAACGCCCATTGACCAATGGAGGGATTTGGGGGAGCGAAAGGTGAAAGGACAGACAGATACAACAATCAATGGGGAAACTTAAGGGAGGGACACCGGGCCCTCATCCAGTCCCTCGAGGCCCAGGGTAGAAGATTCGGGAAGAATGGGATGGAGGGTGATGGGTACCAGGGAGGGAGGATGAAGTGTCTGAGCATTGTCAGGGAGATTGGCACTGAGGGAACTGCGGGAAAACTCGGCGTGGAAACATTGGGAGAAAATGGGGGTGGAGGGGCAAACCATTACAGAACTGTTACCAAAATATAAAAACACAATAGAACACCACCCAAACCAGCTCCCTCCCTGGGAACACGGTAACTTTCATGAGGCATATCTGCAAGAAGGGATGGAGGGTGGATCTGGGGAACTACTTGCCCTCAGTGTGACCTCAGTGCCAGGGAAGGGACTATGGAACAGATCATCTGAGTGACATCACCTGACAGGGACAGGACAACAAGGGCATCAGGCCCAGCCAGCAAGGATTTATGGAAGGCAGGTCCTGCTTGACCAACCTGATCTCCTTCTATGACAAGGTGACCCACTTAGTGGAGGCAGGAAAGGCTGTGATGTCTGCCTAGACATTAGCAAAGCCTTTGACACTGCATCCTTCACAGCATTCTCCTGGAAAAACTGCGTGTTTGTGGCTTGGACATGTGCACTCTTCACTGGGTAAAAATCTGGCTGGATAAGAATGGTGGTGAGTAGAGTTAAATCTAGTTTCAAGTGGTGCTCCCCAGGGCCCAGTGTTGGGGCCACTATTTTCTGGCCAGTGGAACAGGACCTGGGGGCGTTGGTTGGCAGACAGCTGAGTTATCATCCCTGGAAGGATTTAAAAGACTTGTAGGTGTGGCACTTGTGGATATGGATTAATGGTGGACTTGGCAGTGCTGGGCTAGTGGTTGGACTCAATGATTTTAAAGATTTTTCCAACCTAAACAATTCTGTGGCTCTATAAAGGGAATTGCTTGCATGGCTGAGTCCACTGCTAAAAGCAAGGTGCTCTAAATTCTTGCACCTTCACTTCGCTCAAGATCTATGTAGAAAATGATTGGTTAAATTAGGAAAAAAAATCCCCTTTGGCTTTCTAGCAGCTACTCTGAATCTTGGATACCATTTTTTTTTTACAGCCTTTCCCCACTGACATTTACAGTTATGCCTGAGATGAGTAAATGATACGAAGGTACGTAAAACTTACTGAACATCAAATGTTTTGTACTGGAAATGATATCTGGTTTCTGCAGCTTATCTATCTGATTTCTTGATTTTACTTTTTTTTCTAGGCAACTTTAGGTCTCATCTGCGTGGAAACAGCAAGGGGAAACCAGGGCTTAGTTCTCAGTCTCAGCAGAGCCTTTTTTCAGAAGCTCCCATAAATATCCTTTTAAAATGAAGGAATAGCAAGCCTGTAGTCTGGGAAGTAAATCCTGAGTCTCTCTCCAAGTGATCCCGTGTTAGGATCACTTATAGTTCAGTTTTATTTTTCTGTTAATTCCTTGGCAGATGATTCTAACACAAATCAATAAAATAAAAAAATAAATTAAACATATTAGAAGATGGTTCTTCTCTGTAGATGAAACAACCACCTCCATCTTCTGTTTTGAATAAATTCAGATTTCAACTGCAGTGGCCTGGCTTATTTCCAGTTTACAGTTATTCTATTTCACTTACCTGAAATTCTCCCTTTCATGCAACTCTGATGAAATGTTTGTCATCTCTCAACTGCCTGCAAGGGCTGCAAAGTGCTTCATGAGCAAGAGTGCTTACGTAGAGACAAGTAAAGTGATTTCTTTATAGGTAGTGATAAAATTTTCAAGAGCATTATCCACTGGCGCAAATCTGTTTCTCTGGAAGAAGCATGAAATTTCTACAGATTCCGGTGGGAACTGAATTATGCAGACATGGATTCTTTTATACATCCCAGTTCTCCCTCAGCATATTCTGTATTGAAACATTGAAACCATTTATATGAAAGCTTGGCTGGAAAGACAAAATTTAAGCACAAGAATAAAAATTAAGATGGAATTGTCAAAGTTGGTATTTAATTAAATTAAATCAGTGAGAGTATATAATAAAGGAAATTTTATTTTCACCATGATGGTTTGTTTCTAGTTTCCTTTGATGCCATATTTTGCCTAAAGTTCTTCTGGAAGAGAAGTAGCTTGAAGTGTCCTGTGAAAGTAAAGGAGCAGAGAAGTGAAGTCAAAAATGCTCCTTTTATTTCAAATAGAGCTTCAGTACAGCTGTTTGGCAGGCACTGTAATTTCTGCATTTCATTTCAAGGCTCAGATGCTGCTTTTGTAAGCTTATCTTCTCTATTGCTCCAAAACAGCAGCAAACCCCAACACCTTCCTATCCAGATACAATGCACTGAATCTAGTGCATTGTATCCTATCCAGATACTAACTGAATCCAGCCCAGAAGCTCCTGTGAGATGTTTGTGTCTTCTGAATGTGCTAATCTCAGGTGAGGTGTCGGAAAGTGGAAGCCACATTCCTCTTTATTCCAGCAGCAATTTAATGACCAGAAGAGTCTTCTTAACCCTGTATCCACAGGATGTTTTAATTTTTTTTTTTATATTGCATTATTCAGATACTTTTCGATCCTATAACAAAGTAAGAAATGTCATAAATATGAAGTGACATCCCATAAACCTGTATTTTTTTAGAGTGGCAGTTTGAGATCATGCTGATGGTTTGTTTTCCAGTAGGACAGTGGCAAGAGGAACTGATGCTCAATTAAGAGTAAGAAATTAAATAACTGCAAGTATCCTATTCATCAAAAGACTAAGAACCTTCTGCAGATAGAAGAAAAAACTCAAAATTGTTCTCCAAATGATATAAGAAGCTGACAAATAAGAAGAGGTTCATTAATCATTGTGGTCTAGCCTCACTTAACGGGAAGAAGCCAGGGGGCTTTGCTAACACATGAAACTAACTCAAAGGTGACATATTTTTCAGTTTTTGCGGATGTATCTAAACCTCCTGGTTAATTTTGGAGGATGGGGTTACAGTTATAAATTCTTGAACAACACCTTGCTTCTGATCTGAAGCAATATCTAAAATAGGAAGCACACCAAAAGGCAAACAAAATTAATGTATTTTTAAAATTAGATGTCCTGTCTAATAAAAGGCAGAACTTTTATGTTAGTCATAGCTGCAACTTGTCCTGATTTACAGTTCAGATACAATTAACAGTTTCATTTCAAATAATTCTTTTTCCTCGTAAGTGAATATCTGAATCACACACTGGAAAAAAGCAACTGCAGACCACTTCTCTAAGCCCAATTACAGAGAGTGATACAAAAAATTAAGAGAAAAGCCTTGCTTTGTCCTGTTTTTCTAACAAAATGGGGTTTTTTCCCTCCAAGAAACCTTCAAACACCTAAAGGCCTCCATCAAATAGGATTTTCACATTTACCTTCTTTCCAAACTGCCTCATGCAAGATTGTTGGGACGGTTACCCAGGGTTTTGCAGAACAGAAACCTTCAGCATCTACCCTGCCATACATGGTGCTACCTGCCCCTATCCCACATATCCCCACACTAATCATTCTTCTTCCCATCCTGAACTCAAAAGCAATAGAAAACCTGAACCCTTGGTCCCAGTTCAATGGCTGGCACTGGTGCTATCTGGCAGCACTGCTCCTCTAATGGTTAGAAGCCAAGCAAATATGTACTTAACGGGAATTATGAAAATCGAAAATTGCAAGGCCCGAGTGTTTGAAAAACACATTCTTCCTCCACATCAAAGGGCTTATTGATTTGTTGCTGAAGTCATGACCAAAGTGGTGCTAAGAGGGTGAAAAGGGGAGAAAAGATCAAATCTAATCTTCGGAGCTGTGTCAAGCAAGTACCTTATGGCCCATCTGAAGCTGATCATGAGACAAGTCCTGAATGTAAATATTATTTAATATGCCTGGCAAATGTTAGGAATCTGTCTGAGCATATTCTTCAAGTGAGAAATAGCTCTCATTTTCCTTTGCTCCCTTTCCTGTGTCCTTGAACTTTGCATCCCTTGAAATCCCAAGTAACTATTCACATTAATAAAGTGTTAAGGTGTTTGACCAAGATTGGCTCTGCTGATTTCAGCACTTAAAAAGGGAAACCGCTCTGTTGTTTTAACCACTTCAACACTCACCATCTCAGTTTATTTTCTTATCCTCCTTAACTTCTGTTAAAATCAAACAGGAAGCAATTAAGGTGAGCCTACTACAAAGCAGCCCTCAAAGTACATGGCTATGTCCCTAGTGCAGAATGAAGGTCATGCCCTGAAAATGTAATTATATGTATGTGGAAGGAATGCAGAGCCTACATGCTGGGGTGATCAGTGAGAAAATACACCACTCCAGCTTTACTTTCAGCAGGCAGATGACCATGGCCAACACAGGCATTGCTACCACACCTGCTTGGAGGACCTGGTGGCAAGGCAACTTGAATTGACAGGGCACATTAGACCAACAATTTTATCCAGTTGAATTAAGAGATGGCGTGGAAGCAAGAAATTAGTCCCTACTAAGCTGCAAAACTATCACCCATTTCCCTTCATCCGACCCACCCTTTGACTTCAGTCAGGTCACTGCCAGGATGACAGAAAAAGGAATGTCACGGAAATAGACACCTAATGACAACAGTGGGAGACAAAAGGAAGTCTTTACACAGGATTTAGCTAATTATATTTTGGGCAAATATTTATTTATCTAAAAACAAAATAAAAATCATTTTTAAAAGGAAAAAAAGTACTTAAATAAAAAACAAAATTGTGAAATGTTATGGCACAGAAGTTCAAGACAAGTATAAATCCAGTTGCCACAACTGTTGCGTATTAATGTTGCACATTTTTCTATAAAGGCTTTATTAAAGGTATTTACATGGCAATATGATGTGTAAATATATACAGCAAACTGGGGACAACTTTTTTCTTTTGGATTCTTGTATGAAAAAATGCCTTAAATACAAAATTTTAAAAGAAAAAAAAAAATCGAAGAGTTCATCCCCAAGCATGAACAATGTCCCATCATCCCTTATGTCCAAAGTATCAATTATGAGGCAGTTTTGAGGTTCTGGCCAAACCCTTGGGAGATTCAGCCAAGGTTGTGTAGTCTCAAGTTAAATCGCACAGCATGCAGTTGCAATAGTTCCATACTCGATGGACTGAGTAGCCCATGAGAGATATTAGAATCATTAATATTTTACCATAGTTTCAGTCTAGTTTGCATTATTCTAAGTGATGCTCAAGAGTTCCTATGCACAACAGTTCCTTAGCTGCTCAAGTTTGTGTTTCAACTGTTCTCTCCTCCGCCTCAACTGCTCTTTCTCTGCAATCAGTCTGTGTTCCTCTGACTGGATGGAAAGAACGTACTCTGTCGCTTTTTTCAGGATAACAACCTTGGGAGCCTTTTCATTGTTGGCCACCTCGGGTATCTCGTCACGCAAGGCAAAGAAACTCAACTTCAGCTCATTTCTCCTCTGTCGCTCCAAGACGTTGTGTGTTCGCCTCTTGTCGTTCTCTTCCGAATCTGAAGTGCGTGGACTGGAGCATTTTCGGTTGTTGCTGATCTGTTTGAGTACTCTGCCACTGTCCAACCTTAGCCTTTTTGCAGCTGGGTATTCAACCTTGGTGGAGGGAGGAGCGGCATAATTGTGCTGATGAATGTTGACGTGACACCGTTTGAGAACCAGCGGGCTTTGGTGGGGCTTACTGTGCTCTTCTGACGTCTCTGTGCTGCTGGACTCTGTGCTGGATTCATATTCATTTGCTTCAGCTAATGTAACAACATCAATTTCCTCATCTTCCTCTTGTTCTTCTTCTGCCATTAAAAAAAAAAAATTAAAAATTATAACTTGTATGAAGGCACTCTCAAGACTACTGTATGTAGAAGGAAGGCTACTCTGAGTTGCACAATGAGGAACCCAATGACAAACCCTTCTTAAATCTATTTGATGATGCTGGACACAGCTTTCCCCAAGAGCCTTTCCTCTAAGGAAGCAGTGCTTCAAGTGCAATAGGACACATGGACTGCAGTCCAAACCCCGGCTCCCTGATTTCAAAAAGTTGTAACGATCTTGCGTAATGTCGAGTGCATGAAAGATAGTAGGAAAGTTTAACCTCGGTTGTCAGCAGTACAGCGCAATAAAGCTCCCAGACTCAAGCTGCCCTTAATTATGGATTTAGAAGGCTTTGGCCACGCCTTAAAAGAAAGCTTACTTAACACACATGGGTATTCAGAGACATTTTCTGAATCTCTCTTGATCTGGTTATTTGTGGAAAATAGGAGGGAGTTTGGGAAAAAAAAAAAAAAAGAAAAATAGTTCAAAAAAAGGAAAAAGGGAAGGTTGTACCGCTTTGGGTAGAAACTCACTTTCAAACTAGATTTACGAGGGAGCGGAACCCGCTGTCACATACCTAAGGAAGCATTTCTAAAACTTTCCCAGCCCCATTCACTCCCCTGCAGTCACTTTCACTAGCACCTCCCTGACTGCACATTCTCCCCGCGGCTCTCGGGCTGGAGTTAACTCCTTCCCGGCACACGGGAGAAACCGGGAGCCAGCTTTATCGGGACCCCGTGATGAAAGTTTATCCCTCCTACACTTTCTTTATATTTTTCTCCCATCGCTTTACACTCC